ATACTAGGGAATCCTTACGGACTCTATACATAAATCCTAAGAAACTCTATCTTAGCTCCACGACTCGACACAGGATGATCCTAATGATACTAGAACTAGAGTTCTGATACCAACTGTGACGCCCCTGGGTTCACACAAGGCTGCAATCCAAGATGAAATCAAAAATGTGAAACCTACCATGCACCACCTCGTACAATAACATGTTTTACCATAACAATTACTATCTCTCTAGTAGAGTCAATAACAGGTGTAGGTACAAAAGCAAGTAAAAGATAATACAAGAAATAACTGATGAAATGATAAAGATCAAATTAATATTTCATCATCAAACATATAGAAATACAAGATAAGTATCTGAAATAAATAAACTGGAGCCTCAACAAGTCTCAAATATAAAATGTCTGAATAAGAGGAAATAAGGCACACAGCCTTTACAACTTCTAGAATAAAAATCTCAAATGTCTGAACAAAAGTCTACAGTGGAGCTCAAAAGAAAAATATAACTATAGTAGACAGCCGAAGCTAAAGTGCATCGCCATCAACCTACGACTCTCTGGGCACCTGGCTCTTTACCTGAAAAAGGGAGTGACAACGAGCGTCAAAGCGCTAGCGAGCAACATCACAACCAACTCCAAGGGATAGGGCTCGTTATATACAGAAAATACAGTTAATACATATATATTTATAAAAATCACTGATCCTATTTAGGAAATTACAATACGAGCTTAGGTACGTCGAGCGAAATAATCCAAACAAGAAAACCCTCATGTATATACCTTGTGGCTCAAATTGTAAATCCCTAATAATAAGAGGGTTTTAGTACTTAGGAAATTACAACACGAGCATAGGTACGTCAAGCGAAATAACCCAAACAAGGAAACCCTCATGTATATACCTTGTATCTCAAATTGTAAATCCCTAAATACCAAACCCAAAATCTAATACAAGAACAATAATAAAAGAAGACAAACCCATCTCAGAACTTAAATACGGTGTCCTGTTACAACCCACATAAGTGTCATATCCAGCCTAAGCAAGTATAAGTGTCATACTCAAGGTCTAAACTAGTGTCCAACACATGGACTAAAACTAGATGTAGTCGATGTCCAACACATGGACTGAGAAATAAATGTCCAACACATGGACTGAATGTGATAAATGCCCAACACATGGACTACACATAATAATTGTCCAACACATGGACTAAATGAAATATATGAAAAGATGCATATACACTAATCTCACACGTGTCTCCGTGTGTAAACTTAAACTTTGTTTGCATGTCATCTCACAGGTAAAGATACATGTTAACAATAATTTCTAATACCCGTTATTCGAGGCGACTCCTCGTTCATATTAAAGTATGCAATTACAATAGACAAGCATAAACAGTTTCAGTTAAACTAAAACAACCCAAATAGATCCAAACCGAGGAAACTGGAAAATTCCTCGTCAGTCGACTCATGAGTCGACTGGGATCATTGGTCGACCGGACAGAACAGAACACAAAAACTATAAATTTTCTCGTCAGTCGACTCATTAGTAGACTGAGCAGAAGATCTCCAGTTTTTGCATACGATGATTATCTGCAAAAAAATTTAACCTAAAGTTCTTCTTTATCATTTCCAGCAACATAAATCTGATTATTACACATATGTAACAAACTGAAACGAAAGATATGCATGTAATCACTTACATTAAAACCCTAAACATATTTATACATGTTTAAAAATGTATTGAAAATAATAAATCACAATGAAACCCATGTTTAAATCTAATTCCAGATCCGGATCTATATTACAAAACGTTGGTGAGCTTTTATTAACCAAAACATATGATTTCTCGCATCATACGCTATAGAGATATACTTTTATACGCAAAATAATGATTTAGGCTCAATAAATCTGAAATAAAACCAAATAAAACTATACAAACAATGGGTATAGGGCTGGGTGAGATGTTTCTCGCCTCTGGTATGCTGTAAAGCTCCTGAATCCGAAAGAGAATGATCCCCTACGCTGCACCACGCCAAAAACCTGCTGCAAATCCTCCGAAAATTCCCCAAAAATCACCAAAAACGAACTAGGGTTTGAAGGGAGAGAGGGGGCTAGGGTTTCTCTGAGATCTGATGGGTTTGAGGTTGGTTTCGAGTAAAAGAATATATATATAATACGGTTAAAACCCGAAAGAAACTCACCCAAACCCACAACTGAAAAGAATCTGGAAATTAGCCAGTAAGTCGACTCATAGGTCGACACATAGGTCTACTCATAAGTCGACTCATGAGTCGACTAAGCCGACGTTTTCAAGATTCATGCATGTTTTGCTAATTTGCCAAAACCAATGCACAAAACCATATAAAAATACACTCGTACATATCTGATAACTTGTTATCATGTATATCTATGACCTCAAGTCATTTACGACAATAGAATTATCTTTCACCAATAATTTACATAAACTTCTAACAAAAATACGGGGTTTTACAGGCATGTTCTGGTAAGGCACGTCATCCACTGGTTGAATTAGAGCACCATGCTAATTAGGCAGTTAAACAGCTAATTTTTGACTTGGTTGGAACAAATGGGAAGCTCTAACTTAATGAGCTAGAAGAGATTCGGAATGATGCTTTTGAAAATGTAAATAAATTTCAAGGATGAAATAAATATTTTTATGCTAAATTAATAATACAAAAAACTTTATTCAAGGATAAAAAGCTCTTTGGAATTCCAAATTGCATATGTTTTCTAGAAAATTACATCCACGATGGACATGTATGTATATTGTAAAATAGATTATCTCTCATGGAGCAGTAAAAGATAGAGAACCCTAAAAATGGTAATATTTTTAAAATTAACAGTCAACGATTAAAACTATTTTTAGAGTTCTCTACAAAAGAGGAAGAAATAGTGTGAGTTTTTCATGAGCCACACTATCCTAGTTGATTTCATTCCCTTATTTATATAATAATAATAATAATAATAATAATAATAATAATAATAATAATAATAATAATAATAATAATAATAATAATAATAAAAAATAAAGAGCTTGATTTTCTCTTGTTGAAAAAAGAAAAAAAGAAAGAAAAAGTTCCCTTTTGAAAAAAAAGGTTTCCGTTGTTAATTCAAGCCCAGTAATGAAGTAGGGATTTTTGTTTTTGGGCCAAATTATTTACCCTGATTTATCTATAGACTCAGTAACTTTTGTTGTATAATTGAACCCAATTAACTTTATGTATTTCTCTTTAAACCCAAATAGCATAATTTAGAATTATAGTATCTTGTATTTTTACATTTTTAATTGATGGCACCCAAGCAGCTTGGGGGAACCCAAGCAGCTTGGGGAACCCACCCATAAAAGCTAGCTGTTAAGGGGGAGGAACCAAGCCACTTAAATACCCCATCAAGCATCCCAAACTACTCTATGTGGGACTTTAGGCATCTCATACTACCCAAGTCCCTATCATAGCATCGCCCCTGAGAGCCGACGTCTCGACGGCTGCACTCTATGACGCTTCACTCGGCGTTACGTCACTCGACCTTTCTGGTCAGTCCTTCGCCGGTCAGCCTCTCCACAGGTAGCCATTTTCGTGATGCGGACAGCCAGATCTGATACCAATTGATAGGTAACCAAGCAACTTGGAAAACTCATCCTTAAAAGCTAGTTGTTAAGGGGAAAGAACCAAGCCACTTAAATAGCCCATCAAGCATCCCCAACTCCTCGATCTGGGACTCTAGACATCGCATACAACCCAAGTCCCTATCATATCAGGGTCTGTTTGTTTGCCTAAAAAAAGTGGGAAATCAAAGAAATGGAAAACTATTTCTAAGAAAAATTATTTTGTGAGTGTTTGGTTTGCTAAAAAAAGAAGAAAATCAAAAAAATGGAGATGAGATGAGATGAGTTGTCACCTTATTATAGGATGATGTGAGTGATTTTTTAAGAAAACTTGTTTTGATGTTGTTTGGTTGGCCAAAAAAAATAAGGAAATGAATTATAAGAAATCTATTTCTTTTAATAGGTTGTTTTCTTTTGTTTGGTTCATCCTTAAAATAAGAAAAATAGATGAGATGAGATGAGTTATCATTATATTATTGGATGATGTCACCCACACTTAAGGAAATTGTTTTCCTAGCTTTTTGGGAGGAAATAAGTGGAAATGAAATGTTAATGAGATGAGATGAGTTGTCACCATCTTATTGGATGATGTGAGTGATTTAAAATGATGAGATGAGATAAGTTGAGTGATGTTGTGGATAAAAATAATATTTTATTAGATGTGATGGATAACTTTGTTGGATGAAAATAATATTTTATTAAATGTGGTGGATGAGTTGTTAGATGAAAATAATATTTTATTAGATATGATGGATGAGTTGTTGGATAAAAATAATCTATTTTATTAGATGTTGTGGGTGGGATTTAGAGATGGAAATGGATGAAATTGTACTTTTTTAGTTTTCTTGTGGCCTGTTTGGATGGAGAGTAGAGAGGGGGAAGGGAAGGAAAATTTCATTTTAACCTTGTTTGGGAGTTTCATTTTGTAGGGTAGAGGAGGGGAATGGAGGGGAAATTTGGCCCAAATTCTTACACCCCAAATTGGGATGTAATGGAGGGGAAGGGAAGGAAGGGGAAAATTTCATTTTCCCCTTCCTTCCCCTTCCTTCCCTTCCCTAAGGGCCTGTTTGGATTCGTAGAGGGTGAAGGGAAGTTAAGGGAAACTGAGTGAAGGGAAGGGAAGGGAAAGGAAGGGAAGGGGAAGGGAATTCCCTTCCCCTTGGTTACACCAATTTGGGGGTAACAATTTTTATACTATTTGGGGGTGAACCAAGGTGAATGGAGGTGAATTAACTTCACCTCCTAAGTGTTCCCAAACAATGTGAATGGAGGTGAATGGTTCCCTTAACTTCCCTTCACCCTCATTCCCCTCAATCCAAACAAGCCCTAAGTAAACTCCCAAACACACCATTGGTTTTCATTTCTATATCTTGGTTTTTTAGGAAATAACCAAACAAGGCCCTCAGTGTAAAACCCACAAAACCCACCGCCCGCAATTTCCCAATCTCCTCTGCGTTCCCTCTCCTCTTTCAATTTCTCTACAACTACCCCAATTTGTGTGAAAATCTGAGCCCTAATTGTTGCCACAACCGCCGCCGTCTCCTGACCTACGCTCGAATCGAGCTGTGACGCCTTCCTGCACTCAATCGCCGCCGTTGCTTGACCTTCGCTCGACTCCAGCGGCGGCGCCAACTGGCGCCGTCAACTAACGGTTTTCTTCCTTCGGTGTTGTGAGTTTCAAAGCCTTGTCATTTATTTTCTCATAAAGACACGCAAGCACGGGAAAATAATTGAGTTCTCATACTTCATGAATCATTGTTTCTTTAAATTGACATCTTAAATAGTTTAAAAGGCTAGATGAGCTGGTATATTTCTGATATATATATATTACGGATGATGAGTTTACTGATCTGATATCTTAGATATTTTTTCTATAAATTCTCAAGAGGGGAAGAGACATCCTCTACGACTGATATTAGCAGCAATTCGTCATCAGAGGATGCCCATCTCAAAATTATCAGAAGTTGTGTTAAATTATGTAACATAAAGTAATAATCGTAAAACAGGAATTTGCTTGTTGAAAGTGTATCCTAAGTTGAACTGTAGCATTTTCTTTTTGCAAATACTCATCATGTTGAACTCTAGTATTGTTTTTTCCCCCTCTTTAAGTTCTCGTGAACATAAATGCAAGCACCGGTTATATGCAACTTTACAACTGAAAACATCGATGAAGTACAAATATTGATTAAATTTGTGTCCTTATATAAGTGATGATCCAGGTCACACAACCATTTAAATGAAGTGGATCACTAGGATAATAAGTTTCAAGTAGGACTCCCTTGATTCTCCTGGCCTAGGGAGCTAAAGAGAAGGGTGGAAGATGGTAGGACTGTAAGATTTTGTTAAGAAAATTGCAGACATAATAAGGTTATTCTAGAACTAAAATTTGAGAAAACATAATTCAGATTGTGTTTTTCTGGACCTCAGTTCTTTAGGTTTTTACGACAGAAGATTATTTATTGTACTTAAATCTTGTTTCACCTTTAATTGCTATGTGCAAAGCTATTTGATGCTAAACTTACATAGGAGCAGGACACTATAACAATTTGATCCTAATCCTACATATGAGCATGATACTTGGTTTTAGAAAAGTATGATAAAGGTTAATCTTGCTTCTCAGTTTGCACTCAAGAAATAGGGATCCTTCACGTATGATATGTTTATCTCTTCAACCCAATGAGATCAGGTCTCCAAGCAATATTTGTATGCAATATCATCTTATTCAAAAGTAGACTATATATATATTTGGTGCTTCTCCTCTTAATACTAATTATTATACGATCATTGTTGATGTGGTCATTGATGATGCTCTGATTTGTCCCTATATATGCAAGTTTCTTTCTCATCTAACTAAAGCTCTAAGTCCTGATCATCTTATCATGTATAAACCACATAGCGCACCAACTATGAAACAAGTGAAAATGCACATAAGAATTTAAAGCTATCGCTTTGTATAGCAATTACCAGTACAAAGCTTTGTAAAGCAATTGTCAATAATGTTGTTATAGCTTTGTAAATATCAGATTGGATATTTCACCCCTGGAGGTATGTCTCAGGACCTAGCGTGCAGAGTAAAAGACCAAAAACACAAATCCAACCATGATTATACTTTTTTAAACTAATTTGTCAGGTTGGTTTTGAATGTTCTCACTTTTATTAGCATATCATGAGATAATTTTATTAGTTTGTTATAACTTTCATTGATACAATACTAAAATTGCCTCATGTTTTAATTTGTTTGCAGTGAAGCTATGGACTATGGAGGTAGTCAGAATTTTGTCCAATGTGGTCTCCTTTCGGGGCCTAATTCACAATCATATTTCGTCCACTTTGTCAGAGGATCATCGGATAGCCCTTCGAGGTGCCCGTTCTATGGATATATTGATGTTCTTGATGTTCCAATCCAGTCATTTCTAGTTGATTGCTTGTTGGAAGTTTTTGATATTGAAAAAAGCAATTTCAAATTTGGAGGAAAGTGGACCTACTTTGGTGTTGAGGATGTCGAGTGGATAGATATGAGGTTCCATAGAAGTGATCGTGAGACAATCTATAAACATGTGCTTTCATTTAGGACAGGTAGAAATTGGGGAGAATGAGAAGTGTAGGACTAGAAGAGTAAAGAAAAAAATTGATGATGAAAAGAAGAAGGTTGTATGTGCTAGATGAGATAGCATGACTGAACTTATCGAGGAGATGGCTAAGCTAGACAAGACCGGTCCTGAGCATTCGGGGGCCCTAGGCAAAAACTTTGTTGAAGTCTAAACTTATAACTTTGTTGGACACGGCGCGGATTCGCCGATTCGCTGCAATTGCCTTCGGTATTAAAGTCTATGCTTATATTTTATACTCACCTGAGATTCCGACGGTGCAGTAAACAAGGATGAGCAACGGCGTCGACAAATCGCTCGTGGAGATCCGCCGCCCATCGGAGCCTGGGCTACGGATCCGCTGTTAGAACCAAGCTAGGCCCACCATGAATCTCGTCCTGAGCTGGAATCGAGGATTCTTGTCGCTGGATCAAACCAGAGAACATCTCAAAAGTTGCCCACTTTGTTGAGAGGAGAAGAGGAGGATTCTTGTCGCTGGATCAAACCAGAGAACATCTCAAAAGTTGCCCACTTTGTTGAGAGGAGAAGAGAGGAGAGAAAAGTTTTAGTGGCCTTTTTGGAACATCTCAAAAGTTGCCCACTTTGTTGAGAGGAGAAGAGAGGAGAGAAAAGTTTTAGTGGCCTTTTTGGAGGTTTCGTATTGATTTTGGGTGTTTTCTTTGTTGTTCTTGGTCCTTGTTGTAGAGAGAGGCCAGTTGAAGCAAGTTGGGATTTTTTTTACTTAAAAAATGGGTGATGGCGATTTTGGAAGGAGGATGATACGGGTGTATCTTCTCTTCGGAACTTAGCGATCCTCATGCGAGCTTGAGGATAGATGATTCTCATGGTAGCTTGAGAATAGAGGTGTAAAACAACACAGTGGAACGTAGGTCGAAGTGTGGAACGAGATGGCGAATCGAAGAATCGAAGCATCCAATTTTCAGCTTGTGAGTCGACTCATACATGTCATGAGTCGACTCATCAGGTTGAGTCGATTCATGCCTGTCATGAGTCGACTCACAAGACCAAACTGTTTTGTCAAAGTTTCTGACCAGTTGACTCATGACTGTCATGAGTCGACTCACGAGACCCAACAAGTGTTGACATGGTTTTTGACTAGTCGACTCATGACTGTCATGAGTCGACCCATATGACATGAGTCGACTCTTACATGCACATGAGTCGACTCATCGATGGTTTCCTGGTTTGTTTGGGTTTCTGTTTACACGAATTCTTGTAGGGTTTGGGCTTGATTATTTACCACTTTGTCACCCACGTTGTTACACCTATAAAAGGGGTTGTTTAGGGTTTCTAATCAATCAAATGTAATCAAAGAGAGATTCTAATTAAGAGATGATTGTAATCTTTTCATATCATAATCTAGAGAGGGTATTTTTCTTCGTCACATACTGAATTATTCTTGTGTTTTTGTCATTCTCTTCTCAACCCATCTTTGATAATTTCGTGATCAAAGGTGTTCGCACGGTGACTCGTATTAAGTTGGTATCAGAGCGATTAGATCCTGTGAAGGGGGCATCCTGTATATGGTCCTGACTCGATCGCAATACAAGAAGTTAGACGAGATCCTTATTTCATTGGAAGGGGTCCAGAAATTAAGGAAGAAGAAGATGACTGAAGGAGATAGTTCAGCGAGGTTAGATGCATTGGAGAAACAGATGGAGGCAATGAGTTCGACTCTCACACAGCTCGTCAATATCTTCCAAGAAAATAACAAAAAGGAGGAATCTTCTTCGAAAGAAAAGAAGAAACTTATGGAGTCCGATGGAGAAGGCGAGGAATCTGATTCTGATAGGAAGGTCGAGATTGTCAAAACTGTTCCGCATCAAGGGGGTAAGAATTCTTACCATAATTTGAAGATAGACTTCAAGGTAGAGATTCTTGTTTATAATAGGAGTGTCAATGTCGAGAGACTTGATGATTGGATTGAGCGGATGAAGACGTATTTTACCCTCTATGGATATTCATCCAAGGAGAAGCTTGTGTTCGTGACTTTGAAGCTTTCGGGGCATGCATTGATATGGTGAAAATCCTATTGCAAGCAGGAACGAAAGGCGGTGTCGTGAAACAAATTCAAGGAGCTACTGAGGAATCAGTTCTACCCGGTGGGATTTCTTGAGGAGCGTTGATACAAATGGTACGGCTTGCACCAAAGAGTTAATCAGACCGTTCAAGAGTACACGACAAAGTTCCAGCAGCAGGCGATGGTTCTAAACGTCGCGGCGGATGAATACTCCATCTTTATGAAGTACATGGCGGGCTGAACGAATACATCCGGAAGGAGATGAAGCTATTCACGATCGAGTCTATTGCAGAGGCAAGCGTGAAAGCTATTGCCATCGAGGGCAAGCAAAAGAAGAGCAACGAAACAAAGGGAGATGCAAAACAAACAGGAGGTGAGTCTAGTGGTTCCAAACATAAGGAGGAGAAGAAGGGTGATCCATGGAGAGCAGAACGGATTTGTAGTCACTACGAGAAGACATGACATATTGCTGATCGATGTCGGGAGGAGTATCCTCATTTGAAGCCAAAGGGGTTGAAGAAGAAAGAGGAGAAAAATGCATACGTGATAGCACATGGTCCGAAGGAAGTTCCTGGGATGACAGAGCCCAACAGTAGTCTTAATCTTATGGCAGGAAAACAGGCCACGAAAGAGGACGAAGACCCCCGAGAGCAGCTCTTTGTACTAAAGTTGCAAGTGAAGACCAGTTTGGTTGATGCCATAGTTGATCCAGGCAGCGAATAGAATTTGATATCCGAGGTCTTGGTTTAGAAGCTGGGTCTGAAGACAGTCAAGCATCCGAAACCTATCCATTGGGGTGGATTCAAAAGGAGACGAGACTGAGTGTAGTTGATCAATGCACTTTCAGATTTGTGCTCCACGAGTCGTATATTGACGAGGTCACGTACGACGTTGTTCCATTGGATGTTTGTCATGTTATATTGGGCAATCCGTACTTGTGGGATAGATACACGATCTACGAAAGGCGGGCTCAGAAGTACACATTCACCAAGGATGGTGAAAAGTTCATATTTCGTTCGGCGTCTTTTCCGAGGGAGGTAAACTTGGCGACGGTGACGCTAGCGAAGAGGCTAGTGAATGCAAGCAAGAGGTTCATCTCGCTGTGCATTAGACTTCATGACGAGCCATCGAAGAGGAGTTGCTTGTTAGAGAGGAAGACGACTACGATGAGGCGAGGAACGAAGGAGTCGTTTCGAGTTGTACGTCGATATCCGGTTTCTAACAAAACCAGGTGGTGCAGAAAGGATGGAGGAGCTCACGAGTTGTCTCAGCTGAAGTTCTAACTTGAATGAGATTTCAAGTTCCTAAATGGGGGATCCATAATACGAATGTATCTTTCCTTCGAAACTTAGCGATCCTCATGGGAGCTTGAGGATAGATGATTCTTATGGTAGCTTGAGAATAGAGGTGTAAAACAACATAGTGGAACGCAGGTCAAAGCGTGAACGAGACGGCGAATCGAAGAATCGAAGCATCCAGTTTTCAGCCTGTGAGTCGACTCATACATGTCATGAGTCGACTCATCAGGTTGAGTCGACTCATGCCTGTCATGAGTCGACTCACGAGACCAAGCCGTTTTGTCAAAGTTTCTGATCAGTCGACTTATGACTGTCATGAGTCGAACCATGTGTCATAAGTCGACTCATGACTGTCATGAGTTGACTCACGAGACCCAACAGGTGTTGACATAGTTTCTGACCAGTCGACTCATGACTGTCATGAGTTGACCCATATGACATGAGTCGACTCATACATGCACATGAGTCGACTTATCGATGGTTTCCTGATTTGTATGGGTTTCTGTTTACACGAATCCTTGTGAGGTTTGGGCTTGGTTATTTACCACTTTGTCACCCACGTTGTTACACCTATAAAAAGGGTTGTTTAGGGTTTCTAATCAATCAGATGTAATCAAAGAGAGATTCTAATCAAGAGAGATTAGGGTTTAGAGAGAATTGAGAGTTTGTTCTCGATTCTAGTGAGATTGTGAGAGATGATTGTAATCTTTTCATATCATAATCTAGAGAGGGTATTTTCCTTCGCCACATACTGAATTATTCTTGTGTTTCTGTTATTTTTTTCTCAACACACCTTTGATAATTCCGCGATCAAATGTGCTCGCACGGCGACTCGTATCAGAGGATGACAGGTTGGAAATGGGGTAGCCACGTGAGAACAATAGAGGTTTTTGGGGCCTCTGTTTTTTGGGGGCCCCAGGCCTTTGCCTCTCTCGCCTACCCCATGGGCCGAGCCTGAGCGTAGAGATCCTATTTTGCCACAAATGCTTGTGGCTTTCATTATATGCTTTATATTATGCCCCTAAAGTAATTGGGGTTATCCTTTGTTTGCATTTAGATATTGTTGAAAAATTGGAAACTCGGAAGGAGTATAATTGGGATGAAGTTGTATATAACGTCTTGCATACTAAAATGAAAAAGGCTAAGAAAACTATCACTAAGAGATCCCATGGAAAGTCATCTAGAGGTGGTTATATGGACGGCTTTACCTCGGTTGTGGTGGTAAGTGAAACTTTTATATATTTATGTCATTTAGTCGTATTTATTGTTGCACTTACTTTTTCATATTTTGATAGATTTGGTTTTATGAGTTTGTGGATAAGTTGAGCGTTCTCGTAGGAGCCGAATGCCTACAACCCATCCTAACCTTCGACAAGTATTCAGAAAGTTTACGGAGGAATTCAGTGCAGGATCTCAGGATTTTGTTAGAGACACGGCTAATTTTAGGAAGTGTAATAATAACTCGATGGTGCTAAAATTTGATGAGAGCGTTACTGAAGTTGCCATCACAGAAGCTGTCACTATAGAATTCAATGGAAAGGTGTAATTTGTTATTTGTTTAATTTTTAATGTGATTGTTATAAAATTTGAACTTATGGATGGATGTTTGTGTTTTCTCTCTGTGGTCGTATATCAAATTTCCATTAGTGCTCTTTTTTACTAAAAATCTGAATAGTTATTCACATAGATTAATGAGCAGAAGTTTTTGTTTCTTTCATGTATGTTAGTATAGTATTATTTACATTGCTTTTTATTTGGTGGTTGCTGGAAATTACAAAAGGATGCCTGTGAAAGAGTGGAACTTGTTTTGTTAATTGGGATATCATTATCATTGTATCAGTAAGAAAATGTCTTGGCACTTAGAATAACCTTTATTAATAATATCTTGGAGTGCATATGGCATTTAGAATACTCCCACTTTATTTCACTTTCAAATTATGATTTCCATTTTAATTTGTGACTTAATGGGGATAATTTTGGATGGTGACTTGTGCACTTTGTGTTGTCTGTAGGGTCTGGAGAGCACTACCCTAGATGGATTTTTCCATCTACCATGCTACCTTAAACTCCCCTCAAGTAGAATTCTTCTACCTTGCTTCCTCTTTCTTATCCTTTGTAGTTCGTTTCTCAATTTCTATTCTCTGTCATCTCTATAAACATAGACGATCTCACTGAAATTTATTCCATCAACGGATAAAAATCCATAATAATATTTAATATATCTCACTGACACTAGTAGAAAAACGATCAAACTAGACGGAACAATCTAGACGGAAATTTTTTCCGTCTAGATTGGATCAAAGTAGACGGAATAATTCCGTCTAGATTGTTCCGTCTAGTTTGGAGCAAATTAGACGGAATTTTCCGTCTAGTTTGACAAACCCAGACGGAACAGGCAACCAAGACGGAATTTCCGTCTAGGTTGCCTCAACCTAGACGGAATTTCCGTCTAGGTTGACTACACAACCTAGACGGCAGTCCGTCTAGGTTGTATAGTCAACCTAGACGGAAATTCCATCTAGGTTGCCTTCTAGGTTGTATAGTCAACCTAGATGGAAATTCCGTCTAGGTTGCCTCAACCTAGACGGAATTTCCGTCTAGGTTGCCTAGGGCAGTTTTTTAGCCCCTACCAGCCGCCACCCCCTCCCATTTCTCTCAATCTCATCCACCCGACCCCCCCTTGTTCGGTCTCCCCCCCGACTCCCCCCCTCCTCCGGCCTCCCCCCCGCCCCCCC